CCCCTGCCCGCCGGGCCGGGGCCGTGCGAGCGGCGGAGCGGTGGTGGGGCTCGCGTTTGCTGTTCCCGTTTCCCAGTCTGCCCGGCAGGTGCCACGCTCGGTTGCCACGCTCCGCCTTTCAAGCCCACGCAGCCCCCCTTGGGGTCCCCGCAGTACACATGGCGGGGTCGAGGGCCCCCACTCGGGCACCCCCGCCCGCCCTGCGCGGGTGAAAGTCCTGCTCGGCGTGTCCGCGGGTGCGTGGTGCAGCCCTCGCCGCGCACGTCTCGGAGCCCCGCGTGAGACGTGCGCTTGCTGCCTCCTTCCCGAAGACGCGCATTCCTGTCTGTTGGCACCATCTGGGCACTTTCTTCGTGGGTAACATATGCCCGAGTTCGGGTTATCTTGTTTCTGTAAGGGCCAGGCAGTCTTGCTCCAGCTCGTCGGCGCCAGCCTGCTGTGCCTTTACAGTCCCCCCTTGAGTAGACACTGGAACTGGTTTTGCCCAATGAGAAGTGCCTGGGGGTGATCTTGTCACCTCGAAACTGAACCGATGTGTTGCCTGAAATCTTGGGCTCATCCTTAGGCCAGGCTCGGGCAGTCCGGCCAGGGAGCTGTGTCTGGCTTTGCCCTCTGCACTACTTTTCTTTCCCCCCTTTATTTTGAATTATTCCGTGGACCTATTTGTGTATGCAGGTATGTATGTAGATCCACATTACAGATACGTGTATATGGAGAGATCTGGGTAGGATATACAAAAATTAGACCCCCTCTCCCCTTGACACCACCTCAGTCTCCTTGAGCCCTCAGGGGCCCTTCTTGCCACTTTTCCCCTTTTCCCCCACAAAGGTAAACACTGTTCTGAATAGTGTTTACCATTTCTCTTGTCTTTTAAAAATAGCTTTACTACATATGTACATCTCTAAATGGCATTGTAGTTTTGAGTGCTTCTGAACTTTATGTAAATACTATTACTGCAAGTGTCTGCCACTTCGCGTGTGTATTTTAACTGAGCGTTATGTCTGCGAACCACTGCTGTGATATGGTAGCACTACTTGAAATATTTTCACTAATGGGTGGACTTTCATTGCATGGGTAGGTCTTAGTCCTTTTGATGAGTATTTGGATTGGTTCCTGCTGGTTGACATGAACGGTAATGCTGTCAATGTTCAGGCCTCCTGGTGCCCCTTACAGAGGCTCCTTTAGGGTGTCTGTGTGCAGGGATGGAGTTGCTGTCGACAGGGTTGTAGAGTTGGAGCTTTTTAAAGATAGCACTGGATTGCTTCTCACTTGCCCCCTTCTGTTTGTTCTTCAGGTGCTTTGTATTTCAACATTCACTTCACTGACCAAGACTTTCTTTTTTCTCTGTCCTTCCTTTGGGGTCATCAGGAGCCACCTTGGTTGGGTTTGCTTTGCCGGCTGCCTAGCACAACACGAGACTGCGCTCAGTGCGCCGAGCGTGATGGGTTTCCTCTCCTGGTTTTGTGCAGGCCTCTCATTCTCTCTCTTTACACACGCAGCTACATTTGGAAATACGCTTTTCTTTTTTGTTGTTAAAGACTTATTTATTTATGCATACAAGAACTGGGGTACAGGCCAGAGGTGCAGGGCGGGGTGGTGTGAGAGGATTCGCCAGAGACAGAGTGGGGATCAGAACAGGCAGATTGACTGAAAGACACGACTGAGGGGAACATCAGGCAGGTTAGGAGAGGTCTGCTGTGCCCTGTGGGTCACCTCCCTGGTTGGGGATCGAACTTGTGCTATAGTGGCTCTGGACAGGGAGGGCCCATATTCTGAAATATTCTGGGCTACTGCTCTAAAACACAAGCACTGTGTCCCTTCCTACATGTGTCCAGTTAGTATTACACGCTTGTCCCTTCTCCCTTACTTCTGTCACTGTGTTTGGTGATGAGCCTTCTCTAGCTTGTTAGGTTGAAAAGGCAAAACAAAAATAAAAAAGGCAAAAGCTGGCCTTGATTTTTGTTCTGCTCCCACTAACCACTGAAAAGTTCACATAATAAATTGATAGCCCAGAAAATAGCTGGGCATCTTGATCAAATTAGTAGTGATTATGCTAACTTGGTGGGAGAGGTGTGGCTTGTTTTCCCCTTCAGGGAGCATGCGGTTATGTCATGTCTACTGAGCAATCCTGAGATTGTCAGCTGTCCTGCTCTGACTTTGTTTTCAGCCATCACCTGGTGCCTCCAAGGAACTTGTGGAACACTTGTGCGCTTTGGAGAATACTGTTTTATCTGCAGGGTGGAAAATAACACCCTGTAGGGGAGAAAATGGCCTGCTCCTGGCCCTTCGTTATTAGAGGCACAGGGCTATTCAGAGGTCTCCTTGTCCTTATTCACTCTGAGAATCTGTTGAGCATGCGCAGACCTCTGTATGTGGTCTACGGTTAAAATTCTTGTGTGAGTTAGATGGGATGCAAGCATGAAATACGCGTGTTCAAGAAATGTAAACATGATTGCAGATCAGAGATTTGTGTATGTAAGTTTATATACACATGCATATGTTTATATAAGTGTGCAATTCAGTCCTGGGAAAATATGATTCTCTATGTAGTGTAGAAAAGAGAGCATTGAAGGCCGAGTGTTAGGAAGGTCATGGTCCTATTTTCCATCCCTATGGAATAAGATTGACTCTTGGAAAACCTCACTTTTCCTTTATTAGATAGTTAAATAAAATGAGTGTTGTTGTCCTCAGGTATGTACTCTATTTTTACTTAACATCTACATTCCCAGAATTTTTTAAAAGTTTTTATGAA